TCCTGTACATGAATGGATTCATTTCCAATGGCGTGTTACCTAAGTAGCCTATATTTTCTTGTCACTATTTTCATCCTTAACCTCCCATATCATAATATAAACAAACGAAGAGATAACCTTTATCATATGTATGCACATGATCCAGCATATATCAAACTTGTCACATTCTGAATTAAATTTCATTTCAGTCAACCACTTGACGTTATGATACAGATATTAAATACGATTACAAGATGGTGATCCGTATGTATGGCTATGGTTGTCAAAAACATCTGGATACGGGGATACATTTTTAAAGGGATTGATAGAACTAGATATATTCTTGCAATTGAAAATATGTTGACGAAATTGAGTATGTTGTAACTTAACTCAAATTAATGACGCTTTGCATGTCAGTCAACCTATAAGCATGATTAGACCTTTTATTGACGTATAAGCTTTATAAGGAGAATCAAGCACGTTTGTGAAGCTTTATAAGGCTCTTTAATTATGCAAAAATCTAAAATGTATTCACCAAGCATACATCGTGCCCTATATTAGTAATAATATTAATAACAATATTACTATTTATTCAATAATTCATTAAATTCGCTATTTCTAAGAAAGTTTAGCTATATCTATGAAAATGTTTAATTCTAGAGAATCAATGAGATCTTTAAATATTTCCGTATATAATTGCTATTTAAAAAGAGCATTTATCGATGTGTAAACTGTATCAGTTTGATATCAGCTAATGCTCTACTAGATTTCTAGAAATAGGCTACAGCTAATTTTAGCTCCTATTTAGGAGATTTACAGGTAATCCATTTTACTTTTCAGAATGGTAATTAAAATCGAAATACTCATACACATATTACTTTAACAAATTGGTAAATATTGGGTTTTGACGAAATTATCAATGGAATGCTTGACTTCCTGAAAGTCTGTCATGGACAATTTCACATCAAAAAAGGCAGTTAAGCACTCTATACCTTTAAACCAGTATATTGATAAAACAAAAACTATGAAGAAACTTAATTATAGGCCTAACGAAACTATGATTAAACCAATATTATTCGTAATAATGATATATATTATAATCAATGAAGGTGTGAATCCTGGATATTGTAATGACATTCCAAATTTACTAGTTTCAATTAGAGACAACTCATATCGAATCTGGTGACAGCTGGTTTTAGTCGTGCGCATCGAGCATACTTCATATCATTCATGTACAAATTCATCATTTTATACATGCCTCTATATACATATGCATAGTATAATATGTTGGGACATGGATAGGCTACGGCAGACCGGTCATACTGTCACATGTACCAATGGATCCCTTTGTGTTGAAAGAAAAACGTTTATATCCCGAAACCGTGCACCCAGTTGAGATGTTTGAAAAAAAAATACTGTATGACAAAAATGTATCTCCGCACCTGTTTAGGTTAACTTGGTGTTTTTTGTACTATTGAATAGATGAAAGATCCAAAGGACTTCTATAATTTGTCATGAAGGTCTTCTAAAAACGTACTTTTACACCTTTACTGACATTATAAGCCCTGTTTTAGGAACAGATTTGTCTAAGACAATTTGTATTGAATAAAACGTCATCGATAATACCTTATAACTAATGGGGTGACTTCTCAGTTAGATTAATAGCGAATAAATGATTAAAAAGTACAAAAATAAATTCGGGAAATAATTTACATGACAGCTCAATACATTGTTCACAAAATGTGTGTGCTTTTCGTTTCAGACCATTTGGCTTTTCATGTGATCAGATTATAAGACAAACATTAATCTTAACAGGCTGGAGGATTAAGGATTATAAGGATTCAATTATCTCAGGTGTCTGAGAATCAACTAGTATTATACTTAATCGAAAAAGTGTTCATTTAATGTTGTTTTTCTTTAGTTTTGCTTAGTTTTTAGACATATTTACGAGACATTGGTCAAATTTGATACCAGTATGTACAGTAGGCCTTAGGCATCGTCTGCAATAACAGACCAAACGTCAAAATAGGTAAGGGAGGTAAACTAGTACAATGATTTGTCGTAACATATTTTTACTAAAACAAGTGTATAAATAGAAGATTCATTTCTACAGAAAGTCTATATCCAAGGATAAAATATTCGTTAAAATATATAAATCATGTATGTGTCGTAAGCTTAAAAACAAAATTAGTAATGTCGTCATTAATATGGCATTATTAGCTTATTAAATGTGGTTGAGTAATGTCATAATTTGGTCTATGATTCATTGTTTTTTTTCCATGTATAATCGTTATGATACATATAATAATAATATATTTGTCCGATCACTAGAAAGCTGCAAAGTTGAAAACGATTGACACAGACAAATTGTAAAGTTGTTATATTTACAAGAACATTGTCAACATTTGATTATCATAATAGCCTACTTGTCGTATATCGCCCCGGCCAGTGCCTCTGCAAAAAAACAAACGAATGACAATACCAATATGGCTATATCTTTACCTACGTTTAGTAGTTATTTACGTTTTGAAGTATAGATCTACTTTTTATGATAATAAATGAATATATAAACCTATTTATTACATATGATTGTCGTAAACGTTAGTCAAAATATATGCCTAGACAGTCTAAATTTACTTATACATGTCTATGATTATCATAATGTATATCGTATATTAAATAAAGTAGTTATTAGCCAAGGTGTTGATATTTTTATTATTTTCTAAACTTAAGCTATTGAGCATGTAACCTTAACTGGCCCTCAGGGTGAGAAAATCGCTGTAGGTGTAAATAATCCGCCTGACACCTCACACCACTTTACCCTTTAGTAATTGAAAATACAGCCTTGGGTTATATAAATTAGGTAGACCAATAGCATTTCTTCAGTTATAAGCAATTGAAATCACATAAAAATGTCGACAGCTCGAAATCATTTTAAAATAGAATAAAAATCCCGATTCGAATGAAACAATGAATGTGACAATCACCAGACAGGCCTTGTTTCACAGTAGAATTGATAAGATACAGTAAACCGGTCCAGCTGACGACACAATCAGTCCCCATACACAGCAGGTAACAGCCTGTTGCATTTCACACTCTGGAAAATATTCACAAAGTCATGAAGCTGTTCAATTAGTAATTTATATTTTGTTTATAATTAACATTAACCGACATCGATTCTAGCTGCAGACTGTCACAGCAGCTTTACAGGTGCTGACAATCCAATATGTTGGTCGACTCAAAGCACGTGTAAGGCCTTCTATAATGGCTATAAAATGCTCATACTTATATAACATAAGAGCAATAAACTGATTTTGCAAGTGTAACAAAGATTTGGCTCTACGCATATAAAAATATGAACAACTTATATTGATAAAATTCTTATTGAAATAGCATATTATGATCAAATGTAAATATCAGGTCAAACATGCAATCTAATTTCAAAGCACGCTATACACTATACAATCTATATTGTGTGGCTAGTCACTTTGAAGGCGAAGTAGGGCCACAAAAAAGGTTTTAGTTAATAAAGTTACAAAAATTCTTTGATATGATTTAAAAACTAAGATTATGAAAATTCTTTATAAATATATATTAAACGGGTTTTCATTGATTTATGAATCAACGGTAAATGATTGAAAAATGAAAATTCTCAAACGTAGCGTGGTTTGACAGTTAAACTTTCAAACGTCAGAAATGACAGCTACTTGACAGCTTTCTTTGTGTAGTCACGTGATATTTAAAAAGCGGGAAATAGCTCGTGCTTCTACATTCTCGTTTTTCTTCATCTTTTCCATATTGTCTACTTATAGTTTTAAAATATTAGCATTTCAGGATCTGTAATAGAATTTACAAAAATCAATTTGACGTGTATTATATTCAAAATTGACAGAAACAGCTCGTAAACATGAGAAATATCAATCTTGAGGATTGTTGTAACCTTTGACCTTAACTCGATGGACCAATCAGGAGTTGAGTTTATTGATATGTTAATGAGCACGTGGTGTAGATCTGTCAAACAAAAAATACTCCACGCTGTCGTGTAGCATTCAAGCCGCGTGGTTCATCACAACTTTACCTAGCGTGCTTCACCATTTTATAACTTTGACAGGTGAAATTGTGCCATTTCAAACTTCAAACTGGATATTTTCACCATGAAGGACTGCGGGGAAAAGATAAGGAATAAGAGAGGTAAGTTACTCCGTAAATATTTTGAAGTTTTTCGAGATGTTTGTGCAATGACAAAACATTTCCTTGAAAAGCACGTGGTCGCCGCTCGCCTCACTTCGACAACAACCAAGAAAGGCAAGGAAGCTTTAGTATATCTAGAATATCTAAAATTTGAGTTTTTTGACTTAATTTACGTTATTCAACTAATTAATTGAAACATTTCCATGAATTTTGACGTTTGGGGTTTTGACAACTGGCAGAAGGTGAACTGTCAGTGTCAAAAAATATGGCCGAGTTTGATTTTAACAACGAGGTATCAATATCATTCTCCTACTACATAGTGAAATATAACTGCAACAGTATAATAATTTGTCCTAATACTTTCCATTAGACTTAGTTTTTATATGATTTCATTTCCTTCGTTGAAATTTTAGGGCCATTATTTTTCTCTTCACAAGACTGAAGATGGCCACCAGAACTGATGGCAACATGTTTTTTGTCTTATAGAATTTTTGTCAGTAAATTCATTGATATGTAATTTACTCTTTTCAGTAAGAGAAAAAGGTTCCAAGTCTTGGATGAGTGATGAATATGATTCTGGGGATGGCAAACGAAGGGGAGACTCAACACTTGGTTTGGAGTCAAGTATGAAGAAAAGGAGAGGAAATCTTCCAAAAGAGGCAGTCAGGATATTAAAAGGCTGGCTATATGAGCACCGGTATAATGCTTATCCTACAGATCAAGAAAAAGTCTTCTTGTCAAATGCTGCTAACTTAACTGTTCTTCAAGTTTGTAATTGGTTTATTAATGCAAGACGCAGAATTCTACCAGAAATGATAAAGAAAGATGGAATGGACCCGCTTCACTTCACTATTACGCGGAAAACAACTAAAAATTCATTTGATCAGAACGAATTTGAAGAAGGAAAATACACACCACCAGTGTTCGATGGACGTAAATTTGACAATTCAGAGGACAGTTTGTCATCACGTGACTCAATTTATCCAGTATCAATGGAAACAGATGGATATGTTTCAGATAGTGATACCTCTCTCAGTGATTTTTCCGACACAGAAACTCTAGCTAAAAATGCACTCAACAATCCTCATTATACTAACACTACTTCAACTCCCCATAATGTGAAATACACACCCCAACAGGGTGCCTTGTTGACATTTAATGACAGTACTGTGAATAACACCCCACCCCCCTCACCTCCTACAGAACCAAATAAAGATATTTTCAGGTGTTTTTACATGTTAGTAGATGTGGCTATTAATCAGTTAGAGAAACAGAGGCAGTTGGAAAAAGCTGAACATAACAAAGAAAATAGTTTATAAAGTTGACTATACCATGTGTGTCTAAATAACGAACTTATAAGTGGGTTATGTCCCTTGACAATGTGTGGCTTTACTACCATGTGCTTGACTGCTAATAGTTTGGGCTTGTCAGATAGATAAAGCCTTTGTGTTATAATATATGGAAATATATGCTGACCTCACTGCCGATGTATTGTTAATATTTTTTACATTTTAGAGTTATTGTGGTTAAAATGTAATTTGAATGACAAGTTTTATAAACAGTGTGATTTCATTGATAGTTTGAATTCAGCCTTAATTTAGCCTTTTTAAGGATAATTATACAAAAGCAATTACAAGTATGAAGGTGATCAAAATATAAGTATGTTTTTCTAGTCCAGTCATTTTTTACAAACTAATTTTTTTATAGGGTTTCAAACCACAGTGGTCCTTTGATAAGATAGTGCTATTTTTCTTTATATTGTTTTCCCATTCAAAATATTCATTCCAAACATTACAAAATCCATAATTAAGTATAAAATAGATATTCATAACAACTCATATCATTCTTTAGAATCCCATCCTGTATAGTTTTTATTAGTTAGCATTTATATTTTTGCAGTAAGTAAATTTGAATAGCTGTGCCTTCAACAATCAATTTGGAACTAGACACTTATGTGCTGAAGTGCAAGATAAAAGTTTTTGATCATGTGACCAACTGAACACGTGTGTTATTGACTTTTGTATTGGTTAATAAATGACAGACAATTCAGATATACTGTGTTGCTGTTTAATAATGTAGATACCTCACTTTGTGCCTCAAATTTTATTGACAGGTTATAGTAATGTTATTACTCATCTGATTCATTGTTTGTTGTTTTATTATAGGTTATATCATTTCTATTACTTTCCATTATGTGTTAGTAAAAGATTTTGTATATAGTAAAATCTGAGCACCATTGGGTAGAAAAGATCCCAAATAACTGATTGAATATGAATAGTAATTATAAGTACTATGACCTATATAATGATGTTAATTATGTTATTGTATGACTAATTGTGTGAATATGCTATGTTATAATGATTGGGTGTTCAGCAGTACTTGTCATGTCTCTCAAATCTTCAATGTTATTTCTTTAATGTGAAACAGTTGATAATAGACCTATAGTGTTTTCTAACATTGGTAAACTTTGTAGCTCATGCTGTCATGGATATCGAAAATATTTTTTGTACTTTTATACCCAAATTATTAAGTTACATCTCATATTCTTCACTTCATTAATGACCCTTATATAATGACAACTTATATATATGTTTGATGTGTTTACAGTAGACCTATCAAGCCAGGTCAGCAGGTGTTTCACTTCATCTTTAAGGCATTAATCCTAAACAGTGCTATCTGAACAGTTTTATTGTTATACTTAAACTCTTGACAATGCAGTAACTGCAGTCTCATTTAATGGCAATCCAAAGTGCATTTATTTTCAAGTTTGTGAGCAAGGTATTTTTTTTTTGTATAGTTGATATATTATGTATAATATACACCCTCTGTTGATTGATTACAAATCGTTTTATATTAAATGTGTGATATAAATGAAATAAAAAATATTATATAACAATTTGTTAGGAATTATGACACTAAGTTTAAAGTTACAAATTTGAGTTGTCCTCATGATTTGCCAAAATGTGCTGTGTTATCACAAAATAGTATTTGGCTTATTTGACTTAGATGAGCGCGTTTTTGGCAACTCTATTGTTAACCAGCAAATAGCTGACCCAATATTCTATACCCTGTCAAATTATCGCTTATGCTATTTTCCACGGTTTGACCTAGCAGACTGAACAATAAACAATGTAGGCAAGCGGTAACCATGCATTTAGTTCAGATAGATCAAACAAAGACACCCTACATCCTGCTTTCCGCGAAGTGGGGCTATGAATTAGTTACGAATTATTTCCTCATTGAAGCGACGCGGGAAAGTTACAATACCAAATACTCAGATATATCTCAAAATACATTCCTTTACATTGCATAGGGGCGATAATCGGTAAAAGTCAACCATGCATAACCAACAACTTGTTACTTGTTCAAATAAGACCCGACTTGTATCTAACCAATCATTAATGAAGAAAAGGATTTATTCAATTTTTAACTGCGACAGGTGTCTAGTGAGCTCAGTCTATTTACCCAACAAAGTCTAGCCTTGAAAAAATTCAACTTTCATTTACGATAGGCCTATTTTGAATTATCAACAGAGGGTCATAACGGGTAATTTTAAGACAGGTTTTTTTTCGGAAACGCGCTTCAGATAACACTGTATAGCAATAGCAACATACGACATGGGCATACGGAATATCATCAAAACAAATTAGAAAACAAATATATTTTTTTTCGAATTCAGACTTTCAAGATTGCAATTTCTAAATAAGCGTGTAGTACATTAGTACAAATAAAAGTGAATCTTTTGTGGCTCGTAATACGAAGAAATCAAATCTTTTATGGTTTCTTAAAGCTATCATGCTTTCATAAAAAGTAAAACTGATTATTAGAAAAAGATTTATATATATATATATATAATTTGTTATCCTCGAGTAAATAGTCAATCAAGTAAGAATTTGGCTGTTATCAACGATTTCAAAAGAGATTAACCCGTTTTATCTACAATGCTGAAAATGCTATATTGGCCACTATGTAGCTTATTTAGCTTGGTAAAAGTTTCTTGTTCTGGACGTGACTTTTGTTAATGCAAAAAGGTATGCAATAATGTGTTGATTGAAAAACGAGGTATTATTTCTTTATATATAGCCCATGTGTAATATAACAAATATGTCACGTATGATATAAGAACGATCGGAAATATCTGAAACTATTATTCATATAGAATAAAAATTGAGAATCTGCCAGCTGTGTCGTAAAATTAAACCACCTGGTACCACATCAATTGGCAATCAATATGCACGTTATATTCATATACAGAGTGTATAATTAGTTTAATATTGGTGAAATATATACTAGACATGAACTGGATGGATTATTTTACCGTTACATTATTGCAATATTATTATTGGAGGTAACACGTGTAGATCATCTGGCTAGTCACCTCTCTGTCATCATTGTCAACAGAAGCTTCGTTTATTATAAACCATTTATCGAGATCAACTGCATGTGCATATCCTTAATGTTGATTTAATATAAGATAATCAGAAATACCTGACAATATCGTGATATATTATTATAATTGGTAAAGCACGATTTAATTTGCATGTGCATCTCCATTTTGTGATATTATAATAAAGAGAAACTGTAAAGCACGATATTATTTGCATGTGCATCTCCATTTTGTGATATTATAATAAAGAGAACCTGTAAAGCACGATATGATTTGCATGTGCATCTCCATTTTGTGATATTATAATAAAGAGAACCTGTAAAGCACGATATGATTTGCATGTGCATCTCCATTTTGTGATATTATGATAAAGAGAATCTGTAAAGCATGATATGATTTGCATGTGCACCTTTCAATATCGTGATATCTTATCATAAGCTCGACTTGATTTACACGAGAAGCTCCTAGTATATTATCATACAATCATGTAACAATGGGAAGTACCTGACATGATTTGCATGTGCATCTTCACAATATCGTGATATCTTATTAAAATCAGAAAATCAAAACTAAATTTGCATGTGCATCTCCATTTTGTGACATTATGATGCTGAAAATCTGTAAATCACGACCTGGTGTGCACACGTATGTCGACACTGTGGTGTATTTGTCTTATTTTGAACAACAGACACAAGGTTGTTATAGAATGTTGACAGACAGAAAGACAAATTACTAGTTTAATGAGGTGTAACTGAACAAATATGCTAATAATAACTTTGTCAGTGTGGTACCATGACTAAACAGCTTGCTACTGACTTTTAAACAACTTGCACGTCCTTCACCCTAAGGCAATCTATAGAAAATATTGTATAAGTATTATACAGACTTGTGTCCCGGTTTTCGTATCGAAAAAGAGTTAATCTCATATCCCAATCGATGTGAGATTTTAGTACACACCTGATGTTCGTTTAAGATTAGAAATTGTAGCACAAGAGCAGTTCTAATGAATATTGAGATGTTAAAACGGAAGATGTAAAAGGTCTACGATTAGGTAACTAGAATTGTTAAAGATTATATCAACAAATCTTCCGATTCATTTGCAAGAACCAGTAAGCCAGAGAGCATTGCCAATATACAAACCGGTATTTTTTGACAGATGTCGTGCAGTAGTTTTAGAATGTACTACATCGTACTGAGAGCATCGTCAGCATAAATTCATTCACGCGAATTAATATTGCAATTCTCAGCTAAGCTCAGAAAACATCCCTGAATTAAATTTTCAATCAATGAAGATTTTTATTTTTCTATGTCAATCACAAATTTTTTCTGTGTCAGTGTACTTTTTATTTCCTTAATCTTGTATATGTCAAGGCGACATGATTAGAATCGTTTATGTAGCATTTTATAACCCACCCTTTTTCCTGATTTAGATATTGACAATAGAGATCAACTAATCGTTAAGAACTAATTGTTGAATTGAACAAAAAAATCTTCTTTTCATCGATTAGGCCAAGCTTCAATGCCTTATAACAAACCAGTCTTGTCAGAAGTGGTTAAATTCTGATTTTATGGTTATTTTCGGATTGCAACTTCCAACACGTGGTGCTGATCAAATATTTTTCGCCTGCATTGTAATCTAACAAGTTCTCGTTCCAATGATATTATATTTAACCAACCAAAGCGTGTCTTGTAGGACCGTTTTTTTTTATCAAGGACACTTGGGATATTCCAGAATGCGTCCTTGTTATAAAGAAACTGTTCCTAAATGACACACGTTGATTGGTTAAGAATAACGTCACCAGAATGGTATTTTGGTAGAAAACTGGTTAGCTTACAATGGAGACAAAAACATCATTATTATTATGTTGCGATGATGATTTACACAATGCACAAACACGAGTTGGGGGATAAGGTGGTTTCGTGTTAAAAGTCCCCTAAACTCTGTGTGGCCATAGCTTAATGAGAAATTGCTTTGTGCATGATGTTCACTATTGGTGCTCATATAATCGCCGTCATTATAAATTTCTAGTGAATGTGACAGTAGTTGTCTGATATAATATGTATAGAGGTGAAATCATCACAGTTGGTTGAACTTGAATAGTGCAGTGAATAAATGACCAGTGACATTCAGCCCTGTAATAGAATAAATACCCCATGTCTAAATGATTGATGATGTTCAATAAGATAATCATACAGTCAGATAATAAGTGATTAAAATCAATTTTTTCTGCTAATTGTTCATTTTATTGACATTATTGAGTCTAGCTAATTCTCTTTCATGGTTAATGATATGATTTCTGACTTAAAAGGTATTCTACTTTCTTTCCAAATTATGTATACGGTATAGACATCATACGGGTACGTGAGAGAATTTTCGTTTCGAAAAGAAGCTTTATTATTAAAACTTTTCAAGATCAAAATTCAGATATTCAATTTAAATCCCCATTATATTGCACTGCTTCTTTGTAACTGCAAACCCAACAATTATGTGTGCCAAGCACACTGCAGAACTGTAAAAGGTACTAAAAAGCTTTGACTATCAGAAACCTATATGCGTGTGTGTTCATGATGTAGACAATTCATTTTATAAATCACGTTGAATCCCGATGCTTATACTAAAGGAGGGGAAAACGTCAACTGGTACACAAGATATGTGAAATGTTACACATTCTTGTTTTGGTTAGATGTCTAGTTCGAGGCCATGTCCTAATACCCTGTATACATGTACCTGCTCTAACTGAACCCTGGACTGTGTCTGTATGCTTCTCGGTGGTCGTACAAACATTGTGGTCAGACATGGTCTAAAGCTGTTTTTACAGCGTTGATTTCTGATTGTTATGTTTCATAATATTATCATCAACAACGGAAATGCTTAACCGAATTGCTGTAAATATTATTTTGAGAATTATGTGTAGTACGGATTTTCAACCCTCTGAATTCCTCGTACCCTCAAACCATCCGAAATTGTGGCATAATCGTCAAAGTTTCCCATTAACTATTGCTCATTATGGAACACTGCACTCAGTCTCAGAATATACCCAGGTATCCCAAATGGGGTACTTGAAGTAACAGGTTGTGTATTCTAGTGGATGGGGTCTTTATAGGCCTACTCTAATTGACCAAGCAGGCATACTTTTTTAGTGTGATGCATGTTTATCGCACAAAGCTTCCACTGTCAATTTAAACATACTGTTGAGTTAAAGTCTGACTCAGCCAGAAAATAAAATATTTTGCTTCACATGTGAAGCCGACCACATAGGCCTAATTTAATGTGTCCAAACAACAACCAATTTATCTCAGTCTAATTTGAGACAAACAAATAAATAACATTGAAATGTGGGTTAACGTGTTATCAAGGTGAATTCAGACCACCAAATCTCACAACTCCCCCGATTTCTTTCCTCTAAAACGTGAGGTAAAACAACAATTGTTTTTACAGTGGCCATCGTTGCTATTTTAGGTTTTTAAATGATGAATTTTGTTAAGGTGGTCGGTTTGTCGTATGTG